GGGGTCGCACTGGTGATGGAAGAACCGAGCCTTGCTATAAATGCTGGTCGCGTCGCAGGCCAAGCCCGTACCATGGGCAGCACGTAATGCACCTTTGGCGTTTTGGCACGTCAGCTCAGCTAGATCCGTTGGGGACGGGGACTAGCCCGGCGGTCGCTCTATATCGAGTCGCGCTTCTGGCACGCGCTCACGGTGATTACCTCGCCTTTGTATCATATTGCGCCACGAAACGCTCTCGATCAATCGCTTCGTCGGCGAAGAGCACAAATCCTCAGTCCTCCGCTCGAAGCACCTCACACCGACTCGCATTTTTGGTGACTGGACGGTTGGTGCAAAGCGATCCGACTCGGCAACTTGAGTCGCAGTCAGCACATCGCACGATTTCGGCACGACTGAGCGCAGCCGTCGTCTTCGTCACAGCTGCAGCAAGGCTTCTCTGGAAAACGACATTAGTCGCGCCAGCTCTCGTCGGGCTAGATTGGCTATCGTGCTGCACGAAACTTCTGTGAAATGCCGTTGGCTTTGCACTGTTTTCGTCACGGCGTGCCTTTGCCGGGCTTGAAGTCGAATGCCGCTTTCGTCGGTGGCCCTCTATGCCATACTCTGTGCAGTAGATCAGATCAATGAGACAATCCGACAGTCCTTGTTGACGCTTGCGCCGAGCGCTGTGATTAAAGCCTGACCCATTGTGGCATCGTCCGCGAGCGCACGTTCCGTTGCGAGCTTCGCCACAATCTAGGATGATTGGGCTTGCATATGAGCCTGTTGCCATGGCTGCCGCGTGCAGTTGTTCGAGGTGAAAGCTCTGTGGCCTCGCGAAAGGCAGGGGAGAGGTCCTTATCTATATACTCAGATCAATCGTTGCATCCGCAATAACCATTCTTCCAGTTCCTCGGGCTCTGTGGGATTGGGTGTGCTGCCTCGTGTACTGCCTCGTTCAAGCCGGCAATCCGACGGATACACGAGCCTTGAACGCCTTGTGCCATGTAGTAACCCACTCATCTTTCGCTCATTCAATATCCACGTATATTGAAAGGCAACGCCTGGTTTGCACTCGCGCCGTTGTCCGAGGCACTCGTCTGGGATGTAGCGATGACAGGTCGGATCTACGAAGGAAGCTGCGTCTACTCGAAAAGGAGAGAAGCATAAGTGCGGGCTGCATATGACAGTCACTTTCTGCAATAGGACGG